ACACGGTGTTGCCATGAGTTCAGTTGGGGGCTGATTCAGTTGGGGGCTGACTTGATTGCAGCTAATTATAACAACAACCATTACTAATTATTATTATTATTAATAATACTGTCAGTGGTACGGTACATTGGAAAGGGGTATGGATGAATTCCCACATGTGCCAGGCACTCTATTAATCACTTTACTTACTCTATCACTTTTACTTGCTGATCAGTCCTTTAAAAGTAGGCATTCATGTCTCATTGATAGAAATGAGAAAACTGAAGCTCTACTGCTTCAACTTGATTTTGTCTCATAGATATCTTATGAGACAAAAGAGAACTGGTCCACAGGGTTATCAAGTCTGCAAATCTTTATGGAAGCAGATTGCCACAATTCTTCCACAGAGCAGCTGCTGGGTTGGAACCACCAACCTTTTGGTTAGCAATCAAGGTTTTAAACCACCGCACTACCAAGGCTCCTAAATGTTGTTGTTAAATGCCATTTAGTTGGTTGTGACTCATAGCAACCCTGTATAGGATTTCCAAGAAGAGGGTTTGAACCACCGACCTGATGGTTAACAGTTCAGTACTCATCCTACAGTGCCATACCAGGACTCCAAATGCTATTTAGTTGGAATGCTTCTATATAAACTCTGTCCTGAGCGAAGCTGGGGCAGAAGTCCAACCACCTCACCCCTTCTCAAAATATGGTACTTCAAACAGAAGTAAGTTTTTCAGAAAACAAACAAACAAGAATCAGCACGGAAAATGGGTTTTCAACTCAATTATTCTATAATATAAGAAGCCTTTCTGGGTTAAGCATTGAACTGCTAAAAGGAAGGTTTGCTAACTCAAAGGCCCACAGTTCAAACCCACTAATCACTCTGCATGAGAAAGATGAGACTATCTGCTTCAATAAAAATTTAGTCTCAGAAACACCAGGGAGCAATTCTACTGTCCTACAGGGTTGCTATGGTAGCGTAGTGGTTACGAATCGGGCTGCGAACCTTAAGGTCAGCGGTTTGAAACTACCAGCTGCTCCGCTGGAGAAAGATCAGGCTTTCTACTCCCGTAAAGATTTACACCCTCGGAAACCCTGTACAGGGTCGCTATGGGTCGGAACCGACTCAACGGCACTTAACAACAACAACAACAACAGGGTTGCTATGACTTGTGTTTGATTCATAATATAATATATTACAGATCTCCCTTGGACAATGTTTTGCTGAGGGTAAAAGTATGGATCAAAGTAACATGAGTTCTTGTTGACTGATTTCTGTGCTCAGTAAAATGATCAGAAGTGAGTCAGCAGAAGGGAGAAAGAAGAGAGAAGGAAATCATTTATTGTTGAGTGCCATCGAGTCGGTGCCAACCTACAGCAAACCTGTATAGGGTTTCTAAGGAGCAGCTGGTGAGCTTGAACTGCCGATTTTGAGGTTCAAACTGACTTTGCAGTCCAGCGCATTAATCCACAGCACCACAACAGGATTCTAGCTCTTCATACTATAGCTATTAGTTCTGTCCTCAATTGTATAAAACACTCAGGTGGGAAGGACATCTTCCAAATGGCAGCTCATTTTACCTTGACAGTGGGTTTCTAGAGGAGTTTCTAGTTTTTTATCCTGATAAATTAATATATCCTATTTTATTACTGTGCCACAAACAAGTACTCTGAAAGACCAAAATTCCCAGAAAAGCATCAGGTATCAAAATGCAGTCAGAAAAGATGATATTAAATGGAAAAAAAAAAAACAAAAAAAGAGCTCCTTTTTAATGAAGTCTAGGTGTAGGACAGATTTATTAGCTTCCATTTTTCCAAGTTACATTCTAGTGTATTTCTTGCCCCATTTCTAAGTTTAACAGGTCTCTGTGAAGAATTACTTAAAAAAAACAAAACAAAAAAAAAAAAACTGTTTCAAAGAAAATGATGCAGCTATACACCTACGTCGCGTGCTATGACACATCTGTGATGATACAATTTTTCTTGTATTCACTTTGTCTTCTGCTATTTGTGTTTTCAGTTGTTTGGTGATGTAACAATGCTTTGTATCAAAGCCTCTGTTTTTCCCTATTTTTTAAATTGCTGTTTATAGTATAGGTCTTACATGTAGTTCTTTAATCCTTTAGTTCGTGTTTGCATATGGTGTTAGAGATGTCTTGTTTCATTTTTCTGAAAAGGGATATCTAGCTTTGCCAGCACCATTTCTTGAAGAGATGATCTGTTCCCTAGTTAGCATGTTTTGTTCCTTTTGCTAAGATCAGCTGATAAAGTGAATGGCTTTACTTCTCGATTCTCAAATCTTTTTCTTTTAACCTATGTGTCTTTTGTTGTACTAGTATCAGGCTGTTTTGACTACTGTGGCTGTGTAGTAGGTTTTGGGATCAGGAAGTGAGAGGCCTCTTACTTTATTCTTGTTTAGTAATGCTTTTCTAATCTATGGTCTCTTTCCTTTCCATATCATTAATTATTCGTTTTCCATCTCTTTGAAAAATGATTTTGTAATCTAGTTTGGGATTCACACTAGCCATATTTTGAGCACACAGTGACCATGTATCTGTTGTTATTAAATGCCATCAAGTTGGTTCCAACTCACAGCGACCCTGTATAGGTTTTCTGAGGAGTGGCTAGTGGATTTGAACCACTGACCTTGCAGTTCAAACCACATTGCAGTCGAGTGCTTATCCTACAGCACCACACCAGGACTACCAAACCATGTGTCTGGCATCTACCATATTAGCTGTCGGGGACCCGCCTCGACATTGGGGTTCAGTTCACGAGGAGAGGATACCTGACGGCGACTCATATATATCAAGAATACACAGAAAGAGACAAAGGAGACAAAGAGAGAGACAAAGAGGCACCCCAAAGCCAGGGTGGATACATCACTGATAGGCAGGCTTGGGACTACAGGCATCGTGGCCTCTGCAGGCAGCAACTCACTGCCCTGCAATCTTTACTGCATGCCTTCCAACCCGTAATGCATTATTACTATCTTTACTCTACGCCTGCCAACCAGTAATGCTAACCAGTAATGCTACCTGGGGAGGCCCGGGCCTCTGCTTTATTCAGGGGAGGAGCTTCACACCAAGCTGGGAGGGACTTAGGCAAGGTACAGCTAACATCAGTACTTTTCCAGACATTCAGGTAACTTTACATTATACTTCACTGGTTCGAATCCCAGGCCAGCAACTTGGATTCTCAGGCCCAATTAACATATCTATAGCCCCTGAGCATAGTTGGGGGAAGGTGAGAGTTAAAGACAAAAGCTTGGGCAGAGTCCTGCTGCTTTGGCTTCCTGAGCCAGGTCTGCAGGAGGACTCCAGATGCCCAGGTGAATGCGCTGCACCTGGAAAAGGATTAGGGAGGATGGGTTCTTTGTCTATGGAACAAAGAGCTGTGAAGTAGCTAAGACATTTTTAGTTAATCCTTTGGAGAAATGCTTAACCTTACAACCTTCAGTCTTGGCTTTAGGAAAATATCACATTTATCTGTGGATTGTCAAAGGCTCCAGTGTATTAATTTAATATATATACCTGAATATTAATATGAAAGCAATTTGCCATTAACTGCCAGTGGCCTCATTTGTTACACTTGGCCCTAGCGGGCCTCGAACCTCTGATTAGTCTTACACGGTCTGCAACAATTAGCCAGTATAGAATCATTTTCATTATTGTAGAAAGGTCTACTGGACAGTGTTGGATATGAATGCAACATATGCCTGTGACCAGTTCAGGGTCTCAAATGAATCTCAGAGCTTAAACTTTAAATAAAAGTGGCTTATAAATGTGATAGTTAAAGTTTTATGTTAACTTCACTGGACTTGGCTTCTCAGTGGTTTGGCAGTGAAGATACTGTAATTTCTCATGATGAGAATTGCTATTAGCAGCCCATCAATTGAAAGGAAGCTTTCTCGGGTGTGTGGCCTGCTTCCAATATATTGGCCACTCAGGCAAAGTTTTCTTCCTTTTCTGTTGGGCCTAGATTCTGTATCTGGTTTATTATCCAGCCCTAGTTCTTTGGACTTGAGTCAGTGGACTGCATTATTAGCCTGCTGATTCTGGGAGCTGTCAGCAGCTGGCCATGTTACCTGCCCAACCTGTCTGCCTGTTATCTGACCTGCTGATTTTGGTTCATCAGACCTGCAGCTAAGTGAGTCAGAAGCCTTTAGTCTGACATCTGACTAAAGGACTTGCAACTACCCCCACCTGACATCTCCCTCCCCTGCTTGACAAATGTGAGCCATTTCCTTCATATAAACTTCTCTTTGCTATTGTTGTTAAGTGCTGTCCAAGTAGGTTTCTGACTCATAGTGACCCTTGTCCATTCTGCTTCTAGATTGGAGTAAGACTTAATATGAAGAAAAAAAACTCTCTGTTACAGGTAATTATTGTTGTTAAGTGTTGTCGAGTGGGTTCTAACCCTATAGGGTTTCCAAGGACCTTGTGGTTGAAGCTGACATTACAGTCCAGTGCATTAACCCATAGTGCCACACCAGGACAACTGGAAACTACTAAATTTCTTAAGCAGGGAAGTGACACAGATATGAACTTTATATATATCACTTCTCAAAACAGTGTATAAGATATATGAAAAGAGACTGGTGAGATCAATACTGAGAGATCAGTAGAGTTTACTGACGAAATGATAAAAGACTGCATTCATAAAGCTTATAAAGAAATACACAATTAAGAATATGCACTAGCAAATTTATTCCACATAAAAATTGTGTGCACACACTAGGCATACTGTTTCCCCACAAAAATAAAGATTATAGTAACAATATTTAACTTTGGCCATGAAACACAAAGATATGGGAAAAAAATGCTCAAGATATTATTTTCTAGTTATTGGATTTCCTATATTTGCAATCAGTACTGGCCTGATTATAATTTGTTTTTTTTAAACTACAATTATATTATGCATTCTATTTTAAGACATAGTTGCTGAAATTTCATGCCCTCCAAAATAGTAATTGTTTAATAATTTCAAAATATCCACAGGTACCTCTACTGAAATTATTTTTTCAAGGTGCAAGTGATGAAGTTATACCACTCCTGGTCATGCATAAAACTGACATCCAATTTTATAAAAATCCCTTTTTTTACCTTTTGTCTCTATTTTAATATGCCAACCATCACTTCACTGATATCCCAGAGTTTTCTTGCAACAGACTCATCCATAGCTTTGGGCAATAGTTCCTCCTCTTTACAATCCCCAAAGTACTTTCCTGAAACACCTTCTACTTCAGGTGAAGAAGCTAAATAAATAGAAGTCTGAGCACCTTCTATTGGAGTTTTGAAAAAAGCCCATGACACCAAATTGAACAGTGGTTTGACCAGCAATGGAATGTTTATGTGCCTCCCGAGATTTGTTCGTACAATACCAGGATGTAACACATTTACAGTAACATTTGTGCCTTCCAAGCGGCGAGCAAGTTCTCTGGCAAATAGAATATTAGCTAGTTTGCTCCGACTATAACAAAAACTTTTATTGTAGCTCTGTTCACTGTTCAAGTCTTCAAAATTGATGTCTCCATATTTATAAAGTTTGGAAGAAACTACCACAATCCTGCTGGGAGATGAACTTTTGAGGAGTCCAAGAAGAAGATTGGTGAGTAAGAAGTGCCCGAGATGGTTCACTCCAAACTGCATTTCAAATCCATCTTCAGTCTTCATATAAGGACACTGGAAGATTCCTGCATTATTGATCAAGACATCCAGTCTAGGCTCTTCCTTTAAATGTCAAAGAAAGAGTAGCAAAATTATGAACACAGACCTTTTACTGCTTGTTCTGTTCAAGATAAATAAGTTATAATAAAAATGGAATTGGATCTAGGCCGAGTCTAGACTTAGCCACAGTCCTAACCCTGACTCCTTCCTTCAACACCCCTCTCCACACTCATACTCACAAATAAAAGAACTGGAGTCTTAACAGTTTAGGAATCAGAGAACTATTTGGAACAGTGGGGGTAGATTCATTGGCAGACCAGTCCTTATATATTAATATTCATGACCATTTCTCTTCAACAGCTTCTTTTTCTTATTTATTAAAACGATATACAGAAAGATATTAACCCATAATGAAATGTCAACAGGAAATTTAGATACTGAATCTAAGACTTTATTTCTGATCTTATGTTTTCATAACTTAAGGATAGTTGCTAATATATATTTTTTGATATTTATTTTATTAAAAAATTGATCAGTACCAATTCATTTGGGGAAAGCACACTCCTCTAATTCCAGATTTCTTCTTAAATTCAGGTGAACTATGAAAATATCAATTTGAGAGTTCTCATATAATCATATCAAGATTACAACAAATGCATCTGTAACAATCTTTTTGTTGTTGTTGTTATTCATGCAAACTACTAAAATTCTCTTAAGAGTGTCTGTGAGTTTTTAACATGTTTTTTTCAAGGGGCCTGGCCTTGCATTTACTACTCCCTGTCCTAGTGTGGCACTGTGGGTTAAGGGCTGGCCTGCGAGGTCAGTTTGAACTGCAAGGTCGGCAGTTCAAACTCACCAGCTCCTCGGAAACCCTACATAGGGTCACTATGAGTTGTGGAACCGAGTCGCAGAACCGACTTGACACACTCAACAACAACCCTATAGTGATGGTGGTGTTGTGTCATGGAGTCTGGTTTCTGACGCTGTAAATCTTTACCGGCGCAGAAAGCCGCAACTTTTGCCCGCGGAACGGCTGGTAGTTTCAAACTGCTGGACCATGAGATTAGCAGCCTGACTCGTAACCACTACGCTACCAGAGCTCCTTAACGACACTGTAAGAAAACGAAATCATAGAAATTAGATGACTTGCCCAGAGTCACAGTGATCATAGTGGCAAATCAAAGGTCTGAAGATAAATTTTTTTCTAACAATGCTCCTTGCCTCTCAAACTGGCATTTTCAAATCATTGCTAGAGAATTTCTGTGAACCATAGGAGCTCTGGTAGCGTTGTGGTTACGAATCAGACTGAGAACCACAAGGTCAGCAGTTTGAATCTATCAGCTGTTCTGCATGAGAAAGATGAGGCGTTCTGCTCCCGTAAAGAGTTACAGCCTCGGAAACCCTGTACAGGGTTGCTATGAGTCGGAACCAACTCCACGGCACATAACAACAACAACAGAGCTGATATGCAGGAGAAGGTAAGTCACTGTTTATTTCCAGCACTACTAGTATCAGCACTAGGGGCAAAGTTATTGTTAAGTGCCACTGAGTCCGTTCCAACACATTGAGACTCTGTATAGAGTTTCGGAGGAACAGCTGGTGAGTTTGAACCACTGAATTTGAAGTTTAAAGTGACTTTGGGGACCAGTGCTTATCCTATAATACCACACCAGGACTTAAGAATGCTTTATTCTGTTGTTCTCTGAGAGTAAATGGTATCATAGGAGTGTAATCGGCTCAGGCTATTTCCTTAAAACTGGGGAAAGCAACAGGCTAGGAATACAAAGTAACACTGGAGAGAATATCATGAATAATTTAAAGAAAGCTCAAGATAAAAAAAATTTTCTTAACAAGTAATATAAAAAGATCAGAAACCACCCAGTAGATTTCAAACACTGTCTCACAAAAACAGCAAAGGACACTAACAGGAGTGGAGGGGGGATTATCAACAAACACCTGTAACCTCTATCGTTGTTAAGTGCAGTCCAGTAGGTTCTAACTCACAGCAACCCTGTATAGGGTTTCCAAGGCTGTAAATCTTTACCGGAGAAGAAACTGCTGACCTTCCACTACTCTACCACCTCTATATTACCTCTAAAGGTCACAGTCCGTGTTTTCCCTACATGAAAACAACCTCTTCACTCTTCAAGTGGCCACCTACTTAAGAGAGCTGTAAAGGATCATTTTATACTTTGACCACATATTCCAGCTTCTTTTCAGATTAGAGTGCTAAATTTTAGTCTGCTCTAAAGTCTCTTCTGTGTGACGCTGTGGGCTAATGCATCAGTCTGCAAAGTCGTTTGAACTGCAAGGTCGGTGGTTCAAGCTCACCAGCTGCTCTTTGGAAACCCTACACGGGGTCGCTATAGGTCAGAATTGACTCAATGGCACTTAACAACAACAAAGTCTCCTCATTCCCTAAATCATATAAATTGCCTTTCTTTAGCTCTTTCCTGGCTCCTCTGTGTCTCTTTCGATAGACTGAGAAAAAGAAATGCACCACATGTTCCAGGTGTGAAGACACAGTGATGACCCACGATTAAATTAATTTGAGGCCAAATTTCAAATATCCCTGGCCCTTCTGCCAAATATAAATGAAAAGAAAAATGTGTTAAATCTCACACGTGTTATCAAAGCCCACCTGTCAGAGGATTAACTATTTCTCATTCTGTCTGTCTACACACCTGTAGCATTTCCAACAGTCAGCTTCAAAAAAAGGCAAGAGTTCACCCATGGGGGAAAGAAAGGAGTGTTCTTTTTCACTAATCCTTTGGAAGAGTTTCCTGAATTAATCATTCCTAAACCATCATTCTTTGCTGGGCTTGTGCTATTTTAAGACTTTATCTTTTACTATTTTTTAAAATTCTAGGAAATAAATGACATAAATACCAAAAGTACCAACCTGCGGGAAATCTACACTTCCCCCTTTCTCTCCTTTCTGCTTACAGTCACTGAACTTCAGAGCCAGGTGGGAACTTAGAAAAAAATCAGAAGCAAGGACTAACTGTCTCCTTATGTAGTTGGTTCTGTCCCATTTAGCCAAAGAAGTACGTTGTTGTCAGGTGTTGTCAAATCTACTTCAACTCATACTGACCCCATATGACAGGATAGAACTTTCCCATAAGGGTTCCTAGCCTGCAATCTTTATGGGAACAGATTGCTAGGCTTTCTCACTTGGCGTCACTAGGTTGCTTTGAACTACTAACCTTTCATTTAGCAGCCTAGTTTTTGGCTGTTGATCCCCCAGGGCTCCTTAAACTGGCATGTTATTGTTAAGTGCTGTGGATTTGGTTCCAACTCATAGAGACCCTGTATGGGGTTTCTGAGGAACGGCTGTTAGGTCAGAGCTGCCTACCTAGTGGTTACCAGTCCAGTGCTTATCCTACTGTCAGTAACAAGAAGATACAGCTCCATGCTGATGATAATAGGAAATTCTAATGCATCCAACATTTCGTATGTTAGTATTTATTTTCTTAATCTCTGTTCTCCATAATGAAATCCTAGCAATAAAAAAATAAGCTAAAAGCACTGCTGCAGCTCCCAAACTGTGCACCACGCACCCAAACAACCAGTGTGCTGTGGGATATTTGTAAAATTTTCATGAGAAACATGGTGATATTCTGTTCAACATCACAAAAACTCCTAGTTCCAGGTACTTCACAGCTACATTACTTTGCACTATGATTCTTTTGGTGATGTCTTATCTTTGTGGAGCTGGGTTTTCAGCAGTTGCTCTAAAAACAAGCGTCATGCTAAAATTCAATGTGGGGCAGGAACTCAAGCATAACATTTAATTCCAAGGGAGTGTGGTAGCTTTGTAACATAAGCACTGGACTGTGAACCACAAGGTAGTCAATTTGAGCCTACTATTTGCTTATGTGGTGCACTGAATCAGCACTGGACTGGGAACCAGAAGGTCGAATGTTCAAACCCATCAGTTTCTCCTTTACAGGGTGGTTGGTCTCTATGAGTCAGAACCTACTCAAGGGGTGGGAGAAAGATAAGGCTTTCTGCTCCTGCAAATAATGATAGGCTCAGAAACCCTATGCAGGGTTGCTGTGAGTTGGAACTGAGTTGACAGCGCTTAACAACATCTGATTCCAAAGCTTGAGAAGCTGACTCAATGACTAACAGGAATACATATCCCATCAGTAAGGAACTATGGTTATTAGGAACTAAATATCAGCTCTGTGGGTTAATGCGCTGCACTACAATGTCAGTTTGAACTGCAAGGTCAGTGGTTCAAGCTTACTAATTGTTCCTCGGAAACCCTACACAGAGTTGCTATAGGTCAGACCAGGCTCGGCGGCAGTTACCAACAACAATTCTCTCAATTCTGTAGATTATTTTTTCAAACAGCTACTAAATTGGGACTCTTTGTTGGCACTATAGGATAGGCACAGGACTTCAAACCGTAAGATCAGCAATTCAAATCCACCAGCTGCTCCTCAGAAACCCTATATAGGGTCTCTATGATGGCATTTAATAACAACACTAAATTGTTAGGTCATAAATATTTAGTATGCTGTTTGGATCTAACAGCTTAACAATGAACTGGAAGATATTCTGTTTGCCCCTAAGGGGTTCTGGAGTGGCGCTGTAGGATTAGCACTGGACTGCTAACCACAAGGCTGGTGGTTCAAACCCACCAGACACTCCTTGGAAGCACTATACAGGGTTGCTATAAGTCAGAATTGTACTTAACAACAACAATAGAGGCACCATGAGGTGCCCTGGTGGCATAGTGAATTATGTTCATTGGGCTTTTAACCACAAAATCAGTTGTTCGAATCCAGCAGTCTTTCCTTGGAAAAAAGATGAGGTCTTCTTTTACAGCCTTGGGAAACCGTATACTGGGTCACTATGAGTTCAACCAACTCAAAAAAATTACTGATCACTTAGATTACCCTGGAGTCCTGGTATGGCATTGCAGGAAAATGTACTGGACTGCAAGGTCAGTTTGAATCACAAGGTCAGCAGTTCAAATCCACCAGTTACTTCTGGGAAACCCTATGCAGAGTTACTATAAGTCAGAACCAACTTGAGGGCACTTAACCACAACAACAGAATACCCTGGTATGGTGCTGTAAGATAAGCAATGGACTGCTAACCACAAGCTCCTTGGTTCAAACCAACCAACCACTCCTCAGAAACCCTGTACAAGATTGCTATCAGTCAGAACCGACTCAATGGCACTTAACAATAAGGATGCTTAAGGAGCTCTGGTAGCATAGTGGTTACGAATTGGGCTGCGAACCTCAAGGTCAGCAGTTCGAAACTCCCAGCTGCTCCGCGGGAGAAAGATGAGGCTTCCTGCTCCCGTAAAGATTTACAGCCTCGGAAACCCTGTACAAGGTCGCTATGAGTCAGAACCGATTCCACGGCACACAGCTACCACCAAGGAACCCTAGTAATGTAGTGGTTAAGTGCTTGGCTGCTAACTGAAAGGTTGGAAGTTCAAACCCACCAGTGCAGATTTCAGACTTGGAAACTCCATGGGGCAGTTCTACTGTGTCCTACAGGGTCACTAGGAGTCAAAATCGACTCCATGGCAATGGATTTGGTTTGGTTTCAGTAATGGTAAGACCTGAACTGAGAAAGTTTGGGGACTTCTAATCTGGAGTACTGGTGTGGCGCTGTGGGTTAATGCACTGGGCTGCAAAGTCAGTTTGAACCTCAAGATTGGCGGTTCAACCGGACCAGCCACTCCTCGGAGACCCTATACAGGGTTGCTATGGGCCAGAACCGACTTGGCAGAATTTAACAACAAAAATCTGGAGCCAAGTGCTGGTAGTATTGTAGGATAAGCACTGGACTACTACCCCAAAATTGTTAGTTCAAACCACCAAGTCAATCCATAGGAAAAAGATGAAGCTCTCTGCTCCCATAAAGATTTATGCCTTGGAAACGATATACAAAGTCATTGAGTCAGAATTGATCTGATGGCCATGGAGTTGTTTTTTGTTGTTGTTTACTATAGAGCCAGGACTCCATTTCCTCTAGACACTTTCCTTATGCCAGCAAGTTTTACATCTCACTCTTCCTAATGCCCTCTTGCAAGACACTTAAAGTGCTACCTCAAAGTAAACAGAATGCATGTCAGTGAGCTGTTTATAAATCAGCTGTACAAAGAAGCCCTCTCATCTCACTGCCTGGAGTAAGGCAGAAGAGCAGGGGCATTAGAGACAGACGGACAATGGGCAAGTCACTTAGCCTAATTGTGCCTGTTTCCTCTAGTTGTAAAGTGGTGATATTAATTCCTACCCCAGAGGATTACAGTGGGGATTTTATGATGATAATAATAGCCAAAGACACTTTAATTTCATTTAAAGTATCTGAATATTTGCCTCAGGCCCTGGCACATACTAAACCTTCAATAAGCGCTAGATACTATTTTTATCCCTGCACCAGTTCATAGCATGATCGTTTGGATCCCAAGCTCCATTCTATTGGAAATCAGCTAGAGTCTGGTTAAGGATGGTGCTCATGAGTCCACTGGTGGCATCCAGATAAACTCTGGATGGGCTGCGCTCTCCCCAGATCCTCATCAGCTAGCATCATCTCCCAAATGCTTACAGATTTTGTGAAAGAAGAGATGGCTTAATGCAGACGAACTTTTGACACAGGGAGTATAATTCAGAGACTCGGTGAATCTACTCCCAGTTGGCCCTTACATAATACTATAAAATACCCTTCAGAAGCTGTCTTAATGTTTTCCTCTTGGGACCATATCTTTTTCAACATCCTCAGACAAATTGTTTATTTCCCAGGGTGACAACTCACTAGCCGCCTAAATCAAAGACTTTTTTTTTTTTTTTTTTTTAACTAGCTGGCTGTCATTTCCAAGGTCACACCCCCGCTTCGCTGGGGACGCCTCTTCCCAGTTCAGCCCCGCTCCCATCAGGCCCCACCCAGCTTAGGCCCTGCAAACAGGCCTTTCCGCTTCCCTTCGCTCCTTTCCTTTCCTGCTGGGCTCCCCAATCCCACACCTGGAGCATCTCCTGACAGAAGGCGCGCACCGAGCGCAGGGAAGCGAGATCCAACTCCTTGATGACGAGCTCCCCGGCCGCGCCGGCGTCAGGGTCTGGCCTGGGGCCCTCCGCCTGGCTAAGCTCGCGTCGCAGCTGACCCGCCGTTTCCTCCGCGCGCGTGCGGTCCCGGCAGCCCATGATCACCCGAGCCCCAAGTCGCAGCAGCTCAGCGGCAGTGGCGCGGCCTAGGCCGCTGTTCGCCCCTGTGATCAGCACAGTCTTCCCGTGCATGTGGCCTGAATTTCCGCTGCTGTGAAGCCGCTGGGTCCTCGTCCCCACGAAACGCCGGGCCACCAGCCACAATCCTCCACCCAGTGCGGCTAGTAGTGCAGCCACTGTAGCCACTGCCATAGCTGCCAGGCCCAGAGGGCCCACCAGGCCCAGTGCTGGAGTCCAGCAGACACCAATTTCCCTTTGCTGAGGCTACCACCTGTACGCGTACGCGAAGAACTCTGGGACACGGCCAGTCGGCCTCTGGTAGGCAAGGAGCATCCTGGGACTTGTAGTTTACTTCATGTTTCGGTTGATTGGTTAGGCGAATGCAGGAGCCATGGTGGTGTCGTAATTAAGCGCTCGGCTACTAATAAGTGCCATGAAATGAATTTCAACTTGTAGTTACCCTGTATAGCGTTTCCAAGGCTTTAGATCTTTTGCTGGAGCAAAAAGCCTCATCTTTCTCCCGTGGAGCAATGGGTATGCTTGAACTGAAGGTTTTGCTTGTGGTACAGTGCTTATCCTATTGAGCCATCATCTGCTCTGCTATAGAAAGATATGGCAGTGGACTTCCCTGAAGATTTACAACTTTAGAAATCAAATGGAGTAGTTCTACTCTGTCTTAAAGATTAGTCTGAGTCAGAATCAACTGGACAGTAATGATGTGGTTAAGTTTGGTTTTAGTTTTAGGTGAGTACAGAGCTCCAATTTGTGGTTCACATCAGTGTAACTTGCGCCGCTTAGTTTAATAATGAAAAGTGAATTGGTTTTCAGGCGGCTACAGTTCATACTAATTTAAGTCCCAGAGTTGTGATGGCCTAATGAGTACTTTGAATTTATAAACCTCTTTATAGGTCGGTTTCTAAATACTATGCTTCAGGGCTGATTTAGGTGTTTCTTTTAAGAGTTCCTAGGACTTATAAGTCATCAATTTAATTTATGTTCACATTGAGAGTGGTCACTACGTAACTGAGGTCTAGAAGGACTCTCTTTTTTCATAGATGAGGCTAAGCACTTAATAACATAAATCAACTAGACATGGAGTGGACCTGTTTCTCAAACTTTAGCCTGCATCAGAATCAACTGGAGGGCTTATGAAACTACAGAAATGATTGACCTAGTGCCAGAGTTTCCAATTCAGAAGCTCCAGGATGTGACTTGAGAGTCTGTTTTACAAGAAGTTACCAGGTGGTGATGCTGCTGATTAGGAGAGGACACTTGGAGGGTTATTAAGGAAGACTGTCATTATGGCAGGCATTGGTCTCCACAGGAAAGCTATACTCAATTGGTCTTGGCATTGACTGAATTACAGTCAGAAAAGCTTGGATTTAGGGTAAACACAACCTTCTGATCAGGCATAGGCTTGGCCACAATTCACAAAAGCCATCCCTTATGCCCCATAGAAAATTAAATGTAATAATGGACCGAAAAGTATGCTGTAAACTGTAAAAGCCCTCATAAATGTCAGGAGTTATTACCACAGGACGCATCCTCAAGCTGAAAACTTCACAGCTTTGTTGTTGTTTAAGTGCTCTCAAGTCGGTTTCATCTCATGCGGTTTCCAAGGGGTAGGTGGTAGGTTTGAACCATCAATCTTGTGGTTAGCAGTCCAGTACTTATCCTACAGCCCCACACCAGCTATTTTTAAGATAATTCATTTATCTCCTCACCTATCCAACCAATATATACCAATCTCTCACCATGTGTCAGACCTTGTAAGAGCCATAGAGAAAAAGGGCACCATTTCTGACCTTTGAATGCTTGTGTTACTGTTAAGTGTCAATTCAACACATATTGACCCTGTATAGGATTTCTGAGAAGCAGCTGGTGAATTGAACCGCCAACCTTGCAGTGTAAATGGACCTTGTAGTCCAAACGCATTAACCCATAGCGCCACACCAGGCCTCCTTTGAATGCTTATCGTGTGGTAATTTCACAGTCCCCGGGATCAGTAGAGTGGCATAACTAGTCATGTTTCAAATGAGTTTCCTACGTGATTTTGATAAGTTGTCCTCCCCTTCATTCTATTTTATGATGATATCACATGTAGCTTATATTCATCATGGAAAAAAAGGGGCGGGGGGGGGGGGCTAGAAACCAGGAGAAACTTCCTTAAGGGAGCTGAAAAATGGTGCTCTGGGGTAGAATAAAGAGAAGACATGAGCAATGGGAAGAGTTGAGCTTTCGCTCCACTCTATCCTGGACCATAAGGCCAGTTTGAACCACAAAGTCTTTCCATGGTTAAAGCACACCAACTGCTCCTTGGAAACCCTATACAGGGTCGCTATGAGTCAGAGCTGACTTGATGGCACTTGACAACAACAGTCCTCAATCTGTGTGGTGGTTGTTGTTGTTAAGTGCCGTCAAGTCAATTCTGACCAATGGCAACCCTGTGTAGGGTTTCCAAGGAGCAGTTACTGAGCTTGAACCACCAACCTTGCAGTTCAAACAACTTTGCAGTCTGATGCATTCGCCCACAGTGCCATACCAGGACATCTGTGTGGTGCTGTGGGTTAATGCCTTGGACTGCAACGTCAGTTTGAACTGGTTCAAGCTCACCAGCTGCTCCTCAGAAACACTTAACAATTCTCAATCTGAAAGGAGACCTGTTAGCATAGTGGATTACCCATTGAATTGTCTCTACCAGCCCTTCTAGGGGAGAAAGATGAGGCTTTCTGCTCCCGCAAAGATTGACAGCCTCCAAAACCATATGCAGGACTGGTATGGGTCAGAACTGACTTGATGGCACACCTCCATCACCATCCTCAATCTGAAGGTGCTACTCAAACTCATGAGCCCCCAACATATCTTTGTCTATGGTGTCACACTCTTCCATTCTGTCCATCCATATCAGGTCTGTCCTTCATAGCCCAACTCTCCTCTCCATTTCCTGACCACTTCTAGCCCACACAGACCTCTACTTCCTCAACCTCATGCATGACCCTGTTTAGCAATGATTATGAACAAAATTCTGTTGTTAGCTATTTGACTTTGCACATTTGACTTTCTGTACTGGATTAAGGTTATACATTTCCTAAAGGCTGGGATTATGTGTGAGTTTCTCATGTGGTCTTCACATAGGACGATGCCTAGAAAATAGTAGGTATTCATTAAATGTCAAAGAACTCTGGTAACATAGTGGTTACAAGTGGAGCTGCTAACCTCAAGGTCAGCAGTTCGAAACTATGTGCCATTCTGTGGGAGAAAGATGAGGCTTTCTGATCCCATAAAGATTTACAGCCTCAGAAACCCTATTCAGGTTCACTATGAGTTAAAACCGACTCCATGGCACGTAACCACCACCACCAGTAAATGTCACAACTAATATATTTTAGATTGTCTTGCACCAAATTAGGGTGTAGAACAAAAGATGTGTACCACCTATGGTCTTCTCTCTACCAGAGTCATGCGGTGGAATATGTATTTATTTGGGGGGGGGGGGCGCTGGATAGAGATGCAGGTGGGGTAGAGAGAAGGGGAAAGAGTGTGGAGAAGAGAGGAAGGGAGGAATATGTAGGCTGGTAACTGCAGAGTAGCTAAAGTGTAGAACCTAATGGGACAAGAAGTCTGTTCAGGATGGGTTCTAAAGGCCAGATATTTAATGCAAACAACTTAATTTAGAGGTAGTGTAACACAGAGAAAAGAGATGGCATATAGCTTCTGAAGCAAACAAGACTGAATCTTATCCCTACTATTTACCAGTTGCCCATCTTTGGACAAGCCAGCTGATCTTTTCTGAACATAAAGATAGATAAAAGGAGGATAATAAATACCACTATGACAAAAAAGTTTAGTTTGATGATAAAAATGTGGTAAAGTGTGAAAATAACCAGCCCACTGTATTTAACATGTGGTAGACTATGGACTTCTGGTATGGCGCTGTAGGATCAGCACTGGACTGCAAACCACAAGGTCCGCAGTTTAAACCCACCAGCCATTTCTTGGAGATCCTATTTAGGGTTTCCATGAGTCAGAACCAACTCAACGTCACTTAAAGGCAACATGTTAATAGCCAACCAATGCCTGTTCAAATCAAAACATTAAAATAGAATGGCAGCAATAAAGGGTCAGGATATTCCAAGTAATGTCACGTGTTTAAGTGGTGACAAAGACTCTTTATCAGTACAAACACTGGGCCAATCTGCTATGCCTAAAGTCAGAGACTTCAGATAAGATACCCTGTGGAGTGCAGAGACTCTCCTAGAGCTCATCTTAGATGGAAAGTACACTGTATGGAACTATGTGCTTTGTTCCTGAATGTGCAGTGTCAAAATTAGTATACTCGTGCAGGTAGCATGACCTTCTCATTTTGCATTGAAAAAAAATCTGATGTTGAGAGACAACAAAATAAAAAGCACCTGTTTTTCCTGGCGAAGCACTGTAGGATAAGCACTAGATCACAAAGTTGGTTTGAACCGCAAGGTAGGTGGTTCAAACACACCGGTCACTCCTTGGAAACACTACACAGGGTTACTCTGAGTCCAAAGTGACTTGACTCTTAACAATTTTCAAAATAATTTCTCCTTTCACCTTTGGAGATCATTATTCCAGAATGATAATGAATAACTATTCTATCTTTTCAGCATCTTAAAAGTGAACAATGCTTTGAAAAATTGTATAAGTTTCTGAAATAATCCCTTAAGCCTTCAAGCATTCAATTTCCAAATTATATTAAAGGACACATTAAGAGTTGGGCTGCTAACTGCAAGGTCAGTAGTTTGAATCTACCAGTTGCTTTGCGGGAGAAAGATGAGACTTTCTGCTCCTGTAAAGATTTACAGCTTCGGAAACCCTATACAGGGTCACTATGAGCCAGAACCGACTCCCCGGCACATAACCTCTAAGAAAGGTACAGTGACACTCAGCAGCACTGGCAGCTGAAAATAGAAGTTTCTGGAAGGTAACTGAGGGTGCAAAATGCTAAAGAAAGAGAGAGGAAGGAAGGAGGGAGGGAGGAAAGAAGGAAGGAAGGAAGGAAAAGAAAGATCAATAGACGATATTCCCCCGAAGTGCTAGGTTCTGATGTCCAATCTTCTGAAACACCCACCTAATGACTCAGGGGACGCACATGGAGTAACTTCTGTAATACTGGACTGTCAGTGCTGTATTTCACCTTCCCATCACCTAAGGATTGATTTTTTGAGAAATGCCATAAGGTACATGAGCTGCGATGGTGCCAAATTTCTGTGCCCCTTCAATGTGGAACATTTGGTCATCAAAGAAGATATGGGGTCGAATCTTCACTAAGATGGGTCCTTTCGGGGCTCCAGCAAGGAAGAGAGCTTCGTCTATCTCTAGACCCCAGCGACGAAGGGTTTTCAACACTCTAGCACCTGAGCTGGCTGCGCTCCTGGCAGTCACCAGGTAGGTCCTGATAGGGCAAAGTAACCGTTCATCTTTGGCATAAAACTTCTTTTGCAGTCTTCCTAAATCTTCCAGAAAGCCTTTCAAGGGACCCTGTGAAAGGAATGCATGTCATACCTGTGATCCAGTGAGCCAAAGAAAGTAAACTCTCAAAGAGCAAAGTCTTAGGAGAGACTATGAAAGAATACAACACTACGTGAGATATGCAGTATTACAATGCAGATGTCTTACTGCTGAAACTCACTGCATTAATGTCAATACATTTCTTGATATGCATCCTGTATTCCTGAAGTAAACTTTTTTATGACAAGGGAAATTGTCATCTAAACCCCAATTTTTTAAGTGTAAAGAAGGTGTACTTAAATATAGTAATTAAACCAGAGCAACAGATTGAAACTGAAACTACCCATGGCAGGTTTTGGTATGGCACTGTAGGATAAGCACTGGACTGAAAGGTTGATTTGAACCTAAAAGTCAGTGGTTCAAATCCACCTGTCACTCCTGGGAAACCAGAACCAACTGGATGGCACTTAACAACAATAAAGCCATGGTAAACTGCTATAGAGGGACACTTTAAATAAACCCTAGTTTATCACTAAATTATTTTAATTTTCATATGGTGAATTGTATATTTTAGCATTTTAAAGTACATTGTTTTATCTAATTCAAAAAAAAAAATTTGGGGGGGGGGACTGATAGTCACAATTGCTTGGTTTATCTTTGCACATGTTTTTATTTTCAACCTTTCTAAATATTTAGTTTTAGGTGCGTTTCCTGTATAGAGCATAGAATTGGATTTTGATAGGTGATCCAATCCAAAAGACTTGCTTTTAAAGACAACAATTGTTAATATTACAAATATACTTGATACTGGTTTTAGCGTACTATTTTGTGTTGCATTTCCAAGTTTAAAGCATTTAAACAATTGTCCACCTTGTGTGTCTTTCTTTTATGTGCATGTGTGCATGTGTGTGGTTTTTCTGGCAGTTAGGAATGCTAGCATTATTTCATTCTGTGACCTTTATACTACCCTGTCTTTTATAACTGTTTTCTAAATCCAGAATCTATTATTCTTTACAATGAAAAAATCAGAATATTTCTTCAACCTTTATCTTATCTTCTATTTCTTCTCCACGATCCAATTTTAGTGACTGTTTTAATATTCTAAGTGGTTACACTGTGTTATTAAATATTTTAATATTTATATTTACCAGTTTTATACTTTATGTTTTATTCAGCAATTGTAATAGAGAGATCAGTATATGTAATATTCCTTAGACCTTGTTCCTCTCATATTTTTCCAGATTTCATTAACTATGTAAATTCTCCATTGTCAGAACATGTAATATTTGCTTCCTTTTCTTTCACTCTAATATCCACAGTTGTTTATTAGTTACAGTTCTGTGGTTAACTATATTCGACACCCATTTGTGCCTTAGTGTATCTAATCATCAAATGTTGGCCAAAATCTGTTCTCCAGAGCACCAGTCCCCACTTATTGACATGGTTGTGATGTTCCAAAGATCAGGTGGCTATCCAAAATCACTGTTACGGGACAGTCAGATGCCACATCCTGCCTTTAGTACTGGTGCCCCTACGCTGTTGCTCAGTGTCTATTAGGCATCCTTTCAGGATGGATGTGACATAGCAGCCCCCTACCCCCATTTCTGAACTATACCTTCCCCACCACTGTGGAGACCATGAGAGTTGGGGATGATGGTCGTGGTGGTTAGATAGTGCCCACTGTTTGTCCTGGCCAAGGACCTCACTTGTTTTCCATTTACACTGGCTGTGCATCCCTATGGGGCTCCCTTCTCTCTACCCTTCTTGCTTCCTCCCACTGACCAGGATATCATGAATGAATGGGAGAATGTATCCCATGGTTGGTCGATCCCCACCCCTTATTTGACCTGATCATTATCAGGGGCTGAAGTATACCATAAATGACAGCCTGCTGACAGCACCCTGTACTTAGCCATGGTCTCATACAGGGCCTGGATCTTTGAAGGTATCACCTGAGAATTTTTCAGTTGACAAAAATGTAAAATATCAAAAACATAGTTGCTAAACCCTATACAGCATTGCTATGAGTTAGAATCAACTCAGTGTCACTTAACAACAACAACAACAAATGAGGAGTAGATGTACTAATTTTTTTTTCCAAGAAAGTCTTATGAAAACAATGTTGTTGTTAGGTGGTTTTGAATCAGTTCTGACTCACAGCAACAACAGAAGGAAACACTGCTCAGTCCGGTACCATCAGCACAATCATTGTTACACATGACACCATTGCTGCTGCCACTGTGCCAATCCATCTCATTGGGAGTCTTCATCTTTTTTGTCTACCCTCCACATTACCAAGCATGATGTCTCCTCCAGGTACTGGTCCCTCCTGATAGATTATATGTCAGAAGGATGAGAGACAAAAGCTTCAAAGGAGCATTCTAGACATAAGTCATCCAACACAGATTTGTTTGTTCCTCTGGTAGTCCATGGTACTTTTGATATTCTAACCAGCACCAAAACTCAAATGCATCAGTTCTTCTACAGTCTTCCTTATTAATTTTCCAATTTTCATGTGTACATGAGGCTATTGAAATTACCATGGCTTGGGTCAGGTACACCTTAGTCCTCAAACTAACAAGTTTGCTCTTGAACACTCTAAAGTGTTTAAAAAGGTCTGTACAGCAGATTTGCTTAATACATTACATCATTTGATTTCTTGACTGCTACTTCAATGAGTGTTGATAGTTGATTCAAGCAAAATGAAGTATTTGCAAATTCATTGTTTTCTCCATTAATTATGATCTTATTTATTGGTCCAGTGGTGAGAATTTTTGCTTTCTTTACACTGAAGTGCAACCATGACTAAGGTTGTGTGGTCTTTGATCCTCATCACTAAGTATGTCAGTCCTCTCCACTTTCAGCATATCACAGGTGGTTAATGAGTCTTCCTCCAATCCTAATACCAAATTCTTCTTAATGTAATCCAGCCTCTTGGATTGTTTGCTCAGTATACCGGACATGAATGGTGAAAGAATGCAACCGTGGTACACACATTTCTTGATTTTATACCATTCAGTTTCCCTTGTTCTGTTTGAACGACTACCTCTTGGTCTATGCACAGGTTCCTCATAAGCATATTCGAGTGTTTCAGAATACCTATTGCCAGCAATGTTCTCCATAGTTTGTCATGATCCACACCGTCAAAAGACTTTGCAGGGTCAATTAAGCACAGGAAAACATCTTTCTGGTACTCTCTGCTTTTAGCCAAGATCTATCAGCATTGCTATTCCTTGTTCCTTGTCCTCATCTGAAGCCAGCTTGAAACTCTGGCAGTTCCCTGTCAATGTACTTTTGCAGCTGTTTTTGAATTATCTCTAGCAAGTTCTTACTTGTGTGTGATATTAATTATATTATCCAATGATTTCTGCATTCCATTGGTTCACATCTCTTTGGATTAAGCACAAATATAGAACTCTTCCAATAAGTTGACTAGGTAAATGTCTTCCAAATTTCTTGGTATAAATGAGTAAATGCTGTATCATTTTGTTGAACTATTTCAACTTGTATCCCATTAATTCCCAGAGCCTTGTTCTTTGCCAATTCCTTCAGTGACGTTTGGGCTTTTTTCTTCATTACCACTGGCTCTTGGTCATACAAACGGACCTCACCAGATGGAATACAGAGATATAAAATTGACTGCGTCTTTGGGAAGATATGGTAGACATTTTTCATATCACCAGTCAAAGCAAGGCCAAGGGTAGACTGTGGAACCACCCATCTATTGCTCATATGTAAGTTCAGAATGCAGCTGAAGAAAATTAAAACAAGTCCAGGAAGACAAAATATGTCATTTAACATATCCCACCTGAATTTAGAGATCATCTCTAGAACAGATTCGATGCATTACATAATGATGACCAAAGACCAAAAGAATTGTGGGGTGATGTCAAGAATATACTACTATAAGAAAGGTCATTAAGAAAACAAGAACAAATTCTACCAACTTCTTTAGTCTGAAATTTATCAAACATGCAATCAAGATGTATTTATAATTACTGGAGATTTGAATGCAAATTTTGGAAACACAGAGGAAGGATCAGTAGCTGGAAAATTGGACTTTGGTGATAGAAATAATGCTGGAGATCACATGATAGCACTTTACAAGACCGATGATTTATTTATTCATTGCAAATACATTTTTTAAACAGCATAAAAGATGATTATACACATGAACTCACCATATGAAATGGAAATAATAATTCCTGTATATATAGTAAGTTTCCAATTACTTTTATTTGTTGTTGCCATTTTGCTTGAGTGACCATCCAGTTTGAGGTAGGATTTTTTAATTATGTTTTTCTGTCCATAAACATCAGTAGAGCTCTTTTGATATTGACTGTTGTTCTGGAGAGACCTGAGAATATCTTGACTTTTTTCCCTGTTTATGCTGATGATCTTTGCCAGGCTGTCCAAAGAACTATTTATCTTTAACATCAAATAATTTTACTGATTTTGTTAAGACACATCTTAGTGATGATCAATCTGGTTGTTTTCCTATCACAAAATGTGGTTTTTAATCTTTAATCTTTTAATGTTGCAACATGCATGTTAAAATATTCATGTAATTCAGGACCATTTCCTCAATTTATATTTTATATAAATTTAAGTCATCTTTATGTGCCATGGAACATCATTTCATCAAATTTCTTCAGGGATTCCAATTATGCATGTGGCATATTTACTTTACCTCTGATCTACTTCTATCATGTTTCTCTGTATGTGTTTCCAGAGTTCTTCCATTTAATATTTTTTTGCATCTCTGATCTGATTCTTACACTTCTGCTCTTTGATTCTGTTTCCATAAGTTTTAAAAAGCCATAGTGCATGTTTCGTCACAATTTTTATCTGTATTTGCCAATTTCTTCCTAAAAAGTATCTTTCAGCTTCTATCTTTGCATATGTCTTGTGCTCATTCTCTCTTATGATTCATTACTGAAGATTTATTTTCCTTGGAGCCATTAAATGGTTTCAGGTGAAGGCCAATGGTAATATTTTAAGACTGTATTGTTTTTGAAATTAAAAGGCTT